GTGGGGGGGGGGGGTCTATTGATAATATAAAAAATGGGTGAATTCTTTGAAAATCTTTAACTACATGTAATTGCATAGTTATGATGATCAGGGTACCTCTTCCAAATTTGTAAATTCCATGACCCTGGGTCATGGGTTCTGGTGTTAGGGTAGGGCTGTGTTAATAGTGAAAATGCATTATTTCTTTGAAGATCTTCTCTGCTTCTGGGCATATTGGAGGAAAACAGAGTAAAAAGTTTTAATAAGCAAGGGTATTTTTACCAGAATTTTGAACATCTGGACCATTTAGTCAAGTGTTCTGGTCCTTGCCAGGGCTCTATTTGTATTCTACTGAGTGAAGTTATTCCCCTTTGCCATTCACCTTTGATAATTAATCACTGTAGATGATGTATTTGAAAGGTAAATAGAATAAGAGAATTATGCAAGAACATTTATTGTATAATACAAAAAGTACCTTTTTAGCTCACCTGAGCCAAAGGCTCAAGTGAGCTTTTCTGATCGAAATTTGTCCGTTGTCTGTCGTCGTTGGCGTTGTCGTTAACTTTTCACATTTTCATCTTCTTCTCCAGAACTACTGTGCCAATTTCAATCAAACTTGGCACAAAGTATCCTTGGGTGAAGGGGATTCAAATATGTTCAACTGAAGGGCCACGCCCCCCTCCAAGGGGAGATAATTACGAAATATCAAAAAATTAATGGCATTATTGAAAAATCTTCTTCTCAAGAACCAATGGGCCAGGAAAGATGAAACTCATGTGGGGAATGATGAAACCCCGGGGGTAGGGTGGGGCCACAATGGACAATCAAAGTTTTATGTAGCAATATATAGGAAAAATCTTCTTCTCAAGAACAGCAAAGCTATGATTGGTCATATTTATATGGAAGCGTCCTTAGGTGGTGTAGATTCAAGTTTGTTCAAAGCATGACCTCCAGGGGTAGGGTTGGGCCATAATGAAAGTTCAAACTTGTAGAGAAAAAAGTCACAGTCAAAAAATCATGTAAGCATCCTTAGTTAGTGTAGATTTAATTTTGTTCAAATCATACCCCCACTCCCTTTTAGGGGTAGGTTGGGACCACTTATGCATTTAAGCTTTTCAATACTAAACAGATTTTTCCTCTTTTCCTAGCCACAGTGCTCAGGTGAGCGATGTGGCCCCTGGGCCTCTTGTTAGTCTAAATGATCAGGTAGACTTGGAAATAATACTTGAATAAAAATGAAACAAAAATTACTTATCTTTTTAAATGTTCTTCAAAGGCCTAGTGAGGTCAATGTGAGAGGTAATAGACATTTTGTTAAAAGTCTGCATGGCAATAGTGATAAATTGGGGACAGATAGATAGATACTAGAACAATTATTTTGTTGTTCTTGATCGTATTATTTTTCTTGTTTTTTGCAACAAAGCTTTATTTATCAGTTTATGGTTCCTCTAAATTGTTGTACTCAGGTGACCGTTAAGGCCCTTGGGCCTCTTGTTCATATTAAAACTTTTCAAATCAGAATTGAAAAAATAATGTAAAATAACAATAAAAAGTCATTTTTTTGGTCACATATACAAGAGATGATACTCAATTAAGGTCTAGATTTGATTATTTATACCCCTTTTACCATTTTGAAGCATAAAAAAACTATAATTTCTTGTAATTATGTATTTTAGAAAGTCTTTCAGTTACTTATACATAAATCAAATTACATGAAATTGCTTTCAAATTTTGATATTTATTTCTTATTAAAACTTAAGATCTCTTTCCGTAAACAGGTTACAATGTTATGACGAGGTCATTAATGGCCGAGATTTTTAAGGAGAAAAGGGAACTAATAGTCGCCAGTTTTTCTTCGGAATTTAACAGTTATCTTGGACGTCATATTGCATGTACAAAACAGCAGTGAAGTTAAAAAAAATCCATGAAGTCGAGCTTTAATTATCTTCTCTCAATTATTTCTTCTTATAATAACCAATCAATATAACAATATAACAGCGATTTGATTTAACTTTTTTTTATCAGAATGTATAAAAAGCGATTTTCATGCGGTTTGACGCGTGAACAGGTTATTGTTTTCAAAACTATCAGATAGCACAGGTAGCTGACCTGTCAATCAAATCAGAAGCTATTGTTTGTTTTTGTTTTTTTTTTTTTAATGATTGACAGGCGGTAAATTACTGATCTTGAACTAGGTAGATTTTAGGGGCGTTTAACGTAATATTGGGTGTTTAATAAGGTCCCATCTTGCCACGTACTAGAGTTACATAATTATGGTCCGTCGACCGAGAATGTTCAGAATTGGTGTAATCATGAAAATAGCTCTTTAAAAAAAATCGTGAATGTTTAGAAATAATTCTTTATGTTTTCAGAATGGTTCTGTTTTGATTTCTTTTTCTACAACGGATAGAGTTCGGAAAGCTTGTGTGTTAATTGGTTAGAATTATTCGCAGAATTAACCACATGTGATGAATCTCCGAAATTAAACACATAATAACACATGATTGAGAAACAAATTGTATATTAAGTATATGCAGTTAAAAGTTTAAGATTTATAAATCAGGGACCTTTAAACGTCACTGATAAAATGTTTTGGATTTTAATTAATCAAAGATAAGATAAAATCACTTGAATGATCCGATATGATTTTAAAAAATAATTTTCCGTAAATCATTGTATTAGCGAAATAGATATAAAACGGCAATGTTTGTTTTGTGTATGAGTACTGATCATGCTGGTAGCTGTGACCTCGATCGAGCATATGCGATCTAGGGAAGGGTTGCATAATTGTAAACAAACAAAAAACATGGGGTGTATATAAAATGCGTGCAGTTAAAGACTGAATTATTTAATGCTGTATTTTAAAATTTAATAACGTTTTTGTTTCAACATTAAACGAAGAAAAGATAAACTCCGATGTTTGTTTTTGTTTACCACCGCAGGTCAATGGTTCACACGCAGTGGATCTCCTGTGATCTACTCGGTTACGCGTGATCGATGGATGAGTTACATAACTGTTAACACAAAACAGTAAGGGATCGATATGAATTTTAGTTGCATGCAGTTAAAGACTGTGAAATATTCTATGTCTATGATTAAAAGTTTTCTTTTAAATAAATATTGTTTGCTTTAATATTGAAGAAAAGATATTTTATCTCTCCAATTTCTTGAAAGTTTTGAAAGTCTTGTTAATTTTAAAACTAAATACAATGAGAAAGTTGTGACTGAATAATCTATTCAGGAACCACAGATCACGTTTAAAACCTTATTCCAAACAAATATTAGCATTCAGTGTAGTAAGGTATATTATTCTCGGCAAGTTTATTTCAGTTATACGCATGAAGAATTCTCCTTCACTTACTGAATGCAAACGGTTACTTGGTTACGGGTCAAGCTTTTTATTCAGGCATTACACAAGATTTGAACATTTTCATTGGATCAATAAGATGTTAAAGAACAACTTTTTTATCGAAAGTCGCATCGACATATTTACAGTTTTTGAGTTATAAAACGAAAGCTTTCGAGGGCCCTAGATCCCTATATATAGGGGCCAGCCCCTATTTGGTGGTGTTAAATTAAAGCTTTTGGAATTGTGCACAACTTTTATTCTACATGTCTTAACAAAATATTTTTAGTTTAAAAGATACATAGGAAAATATGTGTAAATTTTAGCTCTTTTAGACGTCCTTATTTTTGACCCCCCGTTAGCGCCATTTTGAACGCTAAAATCAAAAAGCAAAAACCGATGTGCGCAACTACAATATTTCTTCTTTTCAATTTCAATGATATTTGTGCTCCATCTGTTATAGTCTCGGAGCTTTTGTCTGGAAACCAAACCCCCTAAAATTTCAATCAAATGGAAATCTCTTGTGAGCAGAAAGGAATTTCTGAAATGTAGTGCAATATTTTAAAAATGTTTTGTAAAGTCAAAACGCTCTGAAAATTTGACTCGAGTCTGTTGAGAAATGAGGAAGATATGAAGCTTCAAAGTTGACGTCTAGGAAAAAAAAGACTAACAAGAATAATCTTAACCATCAGAATCAGTAGAAGGTCTTCCGTTGGAAACGAAAGACCTTAATAATATTCAAATAAGTTATATTTTTCGATGAACAGAATTTTTTTTTTAGAATTTTATTTCCTATCTCAATACACATCTTGAAAAATGTGTGTGTTGGGGGGGGGGGGGAGGGTGTTGAGGGTAGGTCTTTAACATTTCAGTACATTTTTGATGACTGTACATGTACAACAACAGAAAGCGGAGAGAGGAAAGCAGCATCCAAACCAAAACTCACATATTAAAACTACAGCAAAAGACTATCCTCAGAAAAAGTCTAGGGAACCCCTCCACCCCACCTCCTCGTACTACAGATCTACAGAAAAAAATCCTAACCACTTTCCAGAGTTATGGGGTACATGTATGAGGAAAGGGTGACAAAAAAGAGGACTAATATCGATTTATGTTTATAATTTGTCTATAAGTCCAGTCAAAATATATATTCCTCAATATTTTTTTTCTTTGAGTTCATCACTGTGACTGTGTGATTAATGTTACTTTCTGTACTGGACTTAAAAAATGTCGACATCTTTGGGTTTATGTGCTATCCTTGAAACCCGCAATGACGATTGTATACTAGTTTAAATACGATAAATTAAAATAATAATTTAAAGTTATTTCTAATTCAAAATTAATTTTGTGTTGTTTTTCATGTTGATCTCATCAGGAAATACGAAATTTGATTTTTTATTTAGTAGTATTTTTTTCCAACGAACTGATTATCGTAACAGTTTAAAGTCCTATCTCAATACTTTCTATTTTCGACATGAAAGAGTTATAGTTCTTAGTGCGCTCTTTGTGAAAATGTCGGAAAATGTACAAATCTTGCAGGATTTCTGGAACACTCAGCATGTAAACAATATGTTGAATGTTGATGAAAAAAAGCCTAACAAACATGCAAATGAGACACTGTATTGTTCCTGAAAGCAACATAAAGATACTTGATGCTTAATATGTAACTTTTCAGAGAGACTGTATTATGAAGCAGAGTTCAGCAGATATATCTATCTCCATGCTGATTGGTGGTGTTGCTTGTGCTTTAATGTGGTTGCTTTATGGCCTTATGTTGGATGACTTCTACATTTATGTAAGTGTCTGCTCTGTATTAGGTCACCTGAGTCATTCGGGTGACCTATTGCTGTCCGTTTTGGTCCGTCATGCCTTATATTTAACATTTCAGCTTTTTCTCTGGAACCACTGAACCAATTTCAACCTATTTTGGCATAGAACATCTATGAGTGAGGGGAAACAAAAATTTTGAAATTTCATGGCCCCTGCCCCCTTGGAGCCTGAGGGGTAAGGCTAAAACCATTAAAATTGTTGCTATCTTTAAAAATCTTCTCCTTTATTCCTGGACACAATTAGCATGATTGTAATAAGCATTGAGCCCTCTACCAAAATTTCGAAATTCATGACCCCAGGGTCAGGGGTTCTGGAATTAGGGTGGGACTCTAGTGATCATATAGTAAAAATGCATAAATTCTTTAAAAATCTTCTTCACTCCCCCCTGTATATAAAGCAGAGAAACTAGGTGCATGGTTATGATGATCAAGGGTGCTTCTTCCAAAACTGAATTTGTGTCCCAATGGTGAGGGATACTGTGGGAGTAGTGGGTCTTTATTGATTATATAGTGAAAATGCATTATTTGTTTGAAAATCTTTTTCTCTACTCCTTTGTATTAAGCTAACAAACCAAGGATAAAGCTATGATCAGCAAGAGTGCTTCTTCAAAACTTGTAAATTACATGGCCCCTGGGTCAGAGAATGCTCCTGTGTATTTATCATATAACTAAGTGCAGGATTATGATGATCAAGAATGCTTCTTCCAAAATTGTGAAAATTTGGCCCCAGGGTCAGGGGTTCTATGAGAGGGGAAGGGGGCTCTATTGTTTATCATGGGCATTATTTCTTAGAAAATATTCTTCTCTGCTACTGAGTATTAAACAGATAAACCAAGTGAATAGTTATAATGAGCAAGGGTTTCTCTTCCAAAATTGTGAATTTCATAACCCCCAGTTAAGGGGTTCTGGTGTAAGGGCAGGGCTCTATTGATTTTATTGTGAAATGTGTCATTCTTCTCTGCTCCTGGGTAGAATGCAGATAAATTAGGTGCATGGTTATAATGAACAAGGGTGCCTCTTCCAAAAATTTGTGGCCCGGGGACAGGGTTCAGGTGGGCAGGGGTGTTTTGTTGAATATAATATAGTGAAAAAGCATTATTTCTTTGAAAATCTTCTTCTTTGCCCCCTGGGTCTTTAGCAGACAAACTAATTGATGTGTTTTCCATAAAAATTGAAATTTCATAACCCCTGGGTCAGGGGTTTGATGGGGCTCCTTTGCATATATAGTAAAAATGCATTATTTCTTTGAAAATATTCTTCTCTTCCCATTGGTTTTAGAAAACACACTAAGTGCATGGTTATGATGAACAAGGGTGCTTCTTCCAAAATTGTGAATTTCTTGGCCCCTGGGTCAGGGGCTCTTTTGTTAGGGTGAGGATCTGGTGAATCTATAGTGAAAATGCATTATTCTTTAAAAATCTTCTTCTCTGCTCCTCGGCATCTAGGAGACAGAGTATACAAAGTTGTAATAAGCAAGGGTATTTTTACCAGATTTTTAAAATTTTGAACCACTTGGTCAATTTATTAATTTTTATTCTACTGGAAGAATTTATTCCTCTTTGCTATTCACCTTTGATAATTAATCACTGTAGATAATGTAATTGAAAGGTTTATTGAATAACAAAATTATACAAGAATATTTATAATATTTAATACAAAAAGTACTTCCATGGTTTTTAGTCATCAGGTAGACTTTAAATAATAGATAAATAAAAATGGGACAAAAATACCTTTCTTTGTACATTAAATTTTCTTCAAAGACTAACAGGAGCCAGTGTGAGAGGGAATGGGATTACTATAAAGCTCTATTGTTTTGTTAAGTTGGCATGGTGATAGTGACAAATGGGCGTTAGTACAGGCAAGAAAATAAATCAACATAGTTATTTCGCAATATTGTACAGCAGGAAATTAACTCGTGGAGTTAATATTTACTATATTCGCGGAATTATAAATTCCACGAATTCATAATACAGTGAATAATTCTTAAAAGATTGGTAAGGATAAATTGAAATATTACTGTTATCTGTGATTAGATTCGTTAACTCTATTTGTGGTTCCTTGCAAACATAAAAGCAGCAAGTAATATACAGGCAACTCTCGATCTCTCGAAGTTCAGGGACCTAAAAATTATTCGAGAGATAGAGGGGTTCACAAAGATAGAAACTGAGAAAATCTGGAATTTTCAGTTCCGAGCATCATTACTCTACTATTATAGATACCGGTCGTATATGGTGTTCTGATATGATCTGATTTGTCATTGCAAGCACTGTTACAACGCGAAATGTAAAAACAATGCAAAATGTAATAAACCTGAATTATTACATTTGCGTTTATTACATTTTGCGTCGAGATCAGCGCAGAGTGTAATAACGCAAATTGTAATAACACTATTTTTGGATTATTATATTTTGCATTGGGATTAACGCAAAATGTAATAATGCACTTTTCTGTTTTTTCATTTTGCGACACTTACTTTTTGTGTTGAGGACAACGTAAAATATAATAAAACAAAATGTAATAAAACAAAATATAATTATTTTTTGTATTGTGCATGGTCAATGTAAAAATCACAAAATTGATTCAAACATATAACAGTGGGGAAACTAGCTTTACTAATGCCATGTTCACACGGAGAGTTTAATTTGCAGTAAATTAATGTGAAGTAAAATAATGTGAATTAAACTAATGCGAATCAAATTGCGTTTTCACATGACAGCTAATGCGAAGTAAACTTATGCGAATTAAAATTTTATTTCTACAGTAAGGCTATTCAGTAAGGTTATTTATGATGTCTTTTTGAAATCACGTCACCTTATGCAGAGCAGATCCATTTGATATAATGTCATGGTGTGTGTACTCATTTCAGTGATTAACATATTTTTCACTAAAAAACAAGATGTGTTTTGAAACACTGATGCCCCCTATGGCAACTTATAGCATTGTTTAAACTTTCTCAAATGCAGATCAAATATGTTGGTACCCAAAGTAAGGTCTTGTTTCGAGAAATATACCAGTGAAATATGAAAGCCCTAGCAGCAACCATTGAATATATATGAGAAAGGTTAACGTTTTTTTTTTCCAAAAGTATATCAAACATCAAGGTCAAGGTCTAATGGTCAAAATTAATGGTGCCAAAGGAAAGGCCTTCTCCCAAGAAATACACCAATCATTCAAAAGTTATGGCCAAGGTTAAAGTTTTCCAAAAGTAGGTCAAACTCCAAGGTCAAAGGGTCAAAGTCGTTAGTATTCGAAGAAAGGACATGTCACAAGGATTACATATGTGAAGAATGAAAGCACTAGCACCAACCTTTCAAAGGTTATGGCCAAGGTTAAAGTTTTGCCAAAGTAGGTCAAACTTCAAGGTCAAGGTCAAAGGGTCAAAGTTGTTGGTATCTAAAGAAAGGTCTTGTCATAAGGATTACATATGTGAAGTATGAAAGCTCTAGCACCAACCGTTCAAAAGTTATGGCCAAGGTTAAAGTTTTTCAAAAGTAGGTCAAATTACTAGGTCAAGGTCAAAAGGTCAACGTTGTTGGTATCAAAAGGAAGGTCTTGTCACAAGAATTACACATGTGAAGTATGAAAGCCCTAGCACTAATTGTTCAAAAGTTATGGCCAAGGTTAAAGTTTGGTAAAATTTTGCAAAACTGGGACAAACTCAAAAGGTCAAATATGGTGGTATCCAAAGAAAGGTCTTGTCACAAGAAATACACATGTGAAATATGAAAGCCATAGCTCCAACCAATCAAACAGACGGACGGACAGGGCAAAAACTATATACCCCCAAATCTTCGATACGAGGGCATAAAAATAGCATAAGTACCTATATCTGACCACCGACATGTCGCTTAGCATTCACACGGAGCTAATGCGAAGTAATTTAATGCGCAGTAAACTAATTCGCATTAAATTCCCCGTGTGAACATGGTTCAAATTTTATTCACAATAACTTACGTTTAATTCGAATTAAACTCTAAGTGTGAACAGGGCATAAATTAGACAGACCTATGACTATGATACAAACGTTACGGCTTTTACGGACATTACTAAATTTAATTGTATATATTTTTTTCTATCGCTTTCTAACATTTTTATTGAATACTAATAAAACATATCTTAACTTTGATTGACATGTCTATTTATAAATCTGTATTATATATCCATTATTGACATTCTTAATTACCAAAGATTGACCATGGGTCCATTAAAAGCTCCTGATATGCATGTACAACGTGCATGTGTACATTGGTTACCAAATTTAGAAATGTGTGTTTGTGTGAGAGAGCAAGGTCGTAACTAGGCCAAAATTTGTAGTGAGGCAAGAGGGCCACTTGAATCCCAAGCTGCCCCAGGGTAGAGTCCTGATGGGGGTTCTCGGGGAGGGAGGGGGACTTCCCGAAACCTTGGTTTTTTTTTTAGCAAATTAAAGACTTTATCTTTGAAAGTTTTCACTATTTGAAATATTTGTTAAACGCTTTCTAAAATATATATAATGAAGCACCTGGTGAAAAGATCGAATTACAGAAATTGAAACAAAATTTAAAAGTATATTAACTTGGTTCAAAGACATAAATAATTAATTAAATTTCGAAGTAAAACTATTTCACTTTCGAGAAAACATGCCTCAATAGAAGTTACGGTCTTGGGGAGAGAGAGAGTCTGGCGAGTAGAAACGGGGGTAGAGATTACTTCGTAATATGATCATTGTATTTTTATGCGCATGCAGAGACTATCCATTTTATTATTGGAGAGAGAGAAATTTAATTTTTTGCTGGTCTGCAATACACATGATTTGTAAAACAGTATGAAATCTTAATTGTCAAGAAACTCCCTGCTATATTTACACCTGTCAGTAAAAAAAAAAAGATTTCTTTTCTAAATTTCATGCATGTGCCTATCAAAGCGCAAATTTTTTAAGCCAAACTGATACAATGATCAACGAAATACCCCCCCCCCCCCCACACAC